CAGGCCCCAGAAAGCCCCAGCCAATTGGTCCCAGCAACTCAACTAGCTGCCTGCCTCCAGTGGCTTATGGAGCACTGTCCTGTCCAGCTCTGCTAAGATGCTCCTGGCCTCTCCCTCTACCCCATCCAGGGGACGGACCCCCAGCGCCGTGGAGAGACTGGAGGCCGACAAAGCCAAGTATGTCAAGACCCATCAGGTGATAGCTCGACGCCAGGAGCCAGCTCTGGGCGGAGGTCCATGGCCGCTCACGCCACACCCCTGCAATGAGCTGGGGTCCCCTGCATCGCCCAGGACGCCTAGGGCCGCCCGCCGGGGTAGCGGCAGGCGGCTGCCAAGACCAGATTCCCTCATCTTCTACCGCCAGAAGCGGGACTGCAAGGCTTCAGTGAACAAAGAGAACGCCAAGGGCCAGGGCCTGATGAGGCGCCTCTTCCTGGGCACCCCTCGAGATGCCGCCTCGAGCAGCCCGGGCCCAACAGAGCGACCCACGGCTCCTGGAGGGTGGGCTGCGCCGCAAGATGCCCCAGAAGCGGCGGGAAAGCAGGCGCTGTGTCCCACATGCTCGCTGCCCCTGTCGGAGAAAGAGCGCTTCTTCAACTACTGCGGCCTGGAGCGTGCGCTTGTGGAGGTGCTGGGCGCCGAGCGCTTCTCTCCGCAGAGCTGGGGCGCCGACGCCAGCCCCCAGCCCGGAACGTCGCCGCCGCTGCCGGGCTCTGGAGACTCCAGCGACTGGACGTCCAGCGACGGCCGTGCGGATCGCTCTGACCGTGCGGACGGTGGCGGAGGGGGCTCGGAGGCAGCGGGCTCGGCGCGGGACGGGCGCCCCCCGGTGTCGGTGGTGGAGCGCAACGCGCGCGTCATCCAGTGGTTGTACGGCTGCCAGCGCGCCCGCGGCCCGCCGCGCGAGTCCGAGGTGTGACCGCAGCCACTCCGGAGCTGGCTCCTAGAGAGTTTGGTGCGGGGGGAAGGGTAGGGGGTGAGCGCGGGGCTGGACCCGGGCACGGACAGGGACGCCCTGCCTCTGACGCGCACGGTGCCTTTGGGCAAACCCTCCTCTCTGGATCTGTGCTTCCTCAAGAGAACCATGGATGGGGTCATGGGGCAAAATTATTTCGAAGACCCTTCCCAGAGCAAATGGCGGAGGGGAAGGGGGCGGCCTCGTGGCCCCTATGGAGGCCGAGAGGGTTTGGGGAGTGAAGACTGGGTTGGGAATTCTGAGAACCTGCTGAATAAAGTCAAAATGTTTTTTAAACGACTCGTGAGGTTGATGTTGAGGAAGGGGGTGGAACGAGTTTGCGCCATGACCTGCGTGGACTTTGGAGGGTGGGTTCCAGGCTGATCATGTGACCCCGAGCGAGCACTTAACCCCTCTGGCCCGCAGCTGCACCCCTCGGTGATCAAAATATTTTTGAAATGGTTGTAAAGCTCATGGAATGTGCTCAGCACTTAGTAAGTGCTCAATAAAAGATAGATGCTATAACCACTCCAGAATTAGTACGTACTCACACTATTACTATCATCTCCTCCATAACCCCCGGGCCGGGAGTTTGGGAGTTCTGGGGAGGGGCATGCTGTAGAAATCTGGGGTGCACCGGCGCCAAAAAGGCCCCCATTCCTAGAGCTTTGTTGCCCCCTTTTGGTTACTAGGTATGAAGGGCTGAGATGCTGGGGATCCAGAATTGAGGACAATAAAGGAACGGACCCTTCAAACAAGGATTTGCCAACCCGCAGCTTCACATCTACCATTGTCTTCCTTTCCCTCAAAGACACACCAGGTCACCTGTCTTCCTCACACATTTATACCTCTGTCATTGTTCACGGTCCTCCTCCCTTTGCCTGGGTTATCTTCTCCTTTCCACTCATCCTTCTAAGATTACATGTTCTGTCTCCCTCAGGAATTCCTGAATTCCCCAATCAGCATCCTATCCTCTGAGCTCTCAAGTACAGCCCTATTTTTCGAGCCTCAATTTGTCACCTTTTGTGTTAGTCTGAGTTCTCTCGTTAGTCTCTGACCTCCTAGTACAGGGACGATGCACATAGTAAAGACACGGGCAACGTTTGTCGAATTGAAAGAGGTTGGACAGAGCGATGGAGCCTGTCCTCTGGGGTTCCCCAGCTTCCTGGACAACTGAACCCTAAATTTAACACAATCTATCCTGATAATCGGGCTGTCTCTGGTCATTTTCTCTCTGTGTGTTTGTGTGTGAAAGAGGGGAGGAGCCCTCCAGCTGAAGCGCACCCTGAGGTTGCCCACCCAAAAGCAGCGTTCTCCGCTGTCCGGACAAAAGCATTCGGTCACACGGGCTGTTGGGCCAGAGTTTTAATGGGGGAGGGAAGGAACAGGCTCCCAGCTAGTCACCCTTGGGCGCAGCCTTCACCTTCATCTCAGCCAATTTGTGGGTCAGGAAGCCCCACTTGAAGCCGGCCGCCGCGTCAGCCTCTTGCGGCTCCGGGCGCTCGGTGGCCTCCTCCGTGGCCTCGTCCCGGGTTTCGGAGTCCCGCTGCGGAGAAGGTTCTGCGCCGCGCAGCATGGACGCCGCCGCAGCCTGCTGCTGCTGCCACCTGCTGGCGAACGCTTCCCAGAATCCGGGTCCACGCTGCTCCGCCTCCGCCGTCAGCGCCCCCTGAGAGGCGGGCCGCGCCGCCAGCGGGCTGAGGGTAAACAGGCGGGGTCAGGTGCAGGCAGAGAAAGGCGAGGCCAGATGGGGGAAGCCAGAGCTGCGGAGTCTGGGTAGCTAGGGGTGGAGCCTGAGAAAGGGGAGAGGCCCAAGCATACGTGGGAATGACGTGAACAGGGCGGGGCTAGACCCGGGGGCGGGGTGCAGGGTTGGACTCTGTACATTGTAGTCCGGGAAGCCAACGGTGGACCCTAAAGAAAGAGGTGGAGCGGGGACTGGGGTCAGGTTCGGAGATGGAGGGAAAATGGGGAACCAGGAAAATGAGAGAACACAGGAGAAGGACGGGTGGA